CACCCTTTTTAGGGACTGGCTTCTAACTGAAGGAGTCGGATAGGCGGGATCATGAACTGCACATTTGGAAAAGGAGTGGCGACTCTGTAGCTCAGGGGCAGGGGAAGGAACTGGGATCCCAAACTTCTAGTTTTACTTTGACAGTGGCATTCCTAGAAATGGAAGGTCCCAACCAGAACTTTCAGGCCTGCTCTCAAAGGGAACGCTCAGTAGGCCCAGGTTAGTGGCCAAGTGTTGATCTGTCTCACTGCCTTCCCTCCTCAAATCTTTATTTTTATTTTTTTAGAGAGAGATTTTTGCTACAGGGCATGTACCCTCATTGGAGAGACAGACAGAAAGAAATCACCCCCCAGGGAGGATGGCCATGCTGCAATCCTTCTCCTCCATTCTCTCGGGATTCGGGGCACGCATGCACACGTGCCCAGTGTTGAGTTTTAATTTTTGTTTGTTTGTTTGTTTTTTCATTTTTATTTAATTTTACTTATTTATTTTAATTTGACAAGAGAGGGACAGAGAGAGAATGAGAGAGAGAGAGAGAATGCAAGCTGCCAGGTCTGGGACTTGAACTGTGGTCAGCCATGTGGGAGTTCACCGCCCTTAACTACCATGCCACCTGCCGGCCCTCTAACTCAGTGTGGAGTTTTAAGCTGCTGGGTTCAAGACTCAAACCATGGTCAACTACGTGGGAGTCCAGTGACTTAAACATTCATTATGCCACCTGCTAGACCCCTTCTCTAAATCTTTTGACAATTTAATAATAGACTCTGGAAAGAAACGCAAAGAGAATCATATCTGAATGATTCTGGTAGAATGAATGTAGCAGAGCCTATTTGTCAAAGACCTCAATGAAGGAAAATTCATAGATTTTTCCCAATAAACCCATTTCCACGAAGAACCTTGTCCTAAATGACTATTAGGCACCCGTATTCTTTCTGCTTTCACTAATCTCCTTTATGCCTACTCTCACCCCCCTCCCCAGAGAGGATGGAGAACATGTGGTCACTTCAAATACTCCTCACATGTCCCTCTTTCTCCTGCTGCATTGTGCTGCATGAAAATAATTTTAACTTCAGGGACAATTGCTGCTGAGCTCTGCCTTGAATTGCTTCCCTGCTACTGTGAAATCAACCAGAGTGTGGGAGGGCTGAGGGGGAGGCCCTCACAAGTCCTCTCCAGGAGAATCCCCCCAGGAGTCTGCAAGCAGCTCTGAGTTCCTCACCCTGCCCTGTGGCTCTAGCACCTTGTACAAGGCGGTGCTGGCGACTAAGTGACTGGGGTGGTGAGTTCAGCGATCGCTGAAAGGATCCGGGACTTGAACTCCTGACAGGTGGGTCCCTCCAACACTACTGTGGTCCAAGAATGATCAGAAATGATTGCAGAGGCAGCAGAAAGGGCCTACGGAATGAATTTAAGCCCCAAACAAAACCCTCCTCGGCTTGGTACCTAGAGGCCTCCTGAGCTTGGACAGCCTGAGCACTTTTCAGGCAGTGCTGCTTGTGGCCCCCACACACCTGAAGGTGGAGCTTCGCATTCAGTCTTCAGGGCTTACACTAGCTGGGGGCTCGGTCAGGAAGGGCAGAGGCTCACGTGACCCTTGCAGTTCTGTGGGCTGCAGAGCAGGGTGCTCCCGCTGCCCTCATCCCCAGCTGTGTTCTGGGTGAGGACGAGGATGGAAGAAGTAGAGCTGAGTCCCTCTGATCATAGTGACTCTGTGACCCCTCTCTGCCTCACAGGGGGAAGGTAGCGCTATGCGTCTGAATGTGGGTATAGAATTGATACTTGTGGCTTTTATCTTGGAGGTGCTGGTTAAGTCCAACACAGTAGGGAATCAGAAACGTAGAGAGTGAACCCATGGATGTGAAGAAGCCCAATCACCCCTGTATTTTCACAAACCCTCTAAGACTGGCTGAGGGTTACCATACCCTTTGGTCAGGTTAAAAAAAAAAAAAAAATGGAGGCCCAGAAAGAGCGTGTGGTTTGCTTTAAGAGTAGGAGAGTGAAAAGAGCTGAAGGGGAATTAGTGCTGCTGTCCTCCTCCTTCTGAACCAAAGGTTAGGTTGGAGCCCACATGCAGTTTCCTGACTCCTGCTCTGGTGTCCTTTGTCCCAATCTATTATGCCCTCATTTCTCACAGGTGACTTTGGGGCTGCAGGACCTTTCTATGTGTTCTGGCAGTTGTGTGTACGCCAGGGGCCCCAGGGTGGCTGGCATTTCACTTGTGCAGAAACTGGGAAGTGGATGTTCTTGGGGAAACCCCTCTTTCTCTTGGGGAAGCCCCTCTGTCCCTCCCTGCCCACTGCAGGGACCTTGATAGACCTGTACTGAGAACCGATGGGCTGGGGTTGGCTGGACAGGTCTGGAGGGAGTGGGCAACTGTCCTCTTAAGTCACCACTTCCTCCAAGCCCTTATGGCACTTACGGTATCTGAAGTCTCTGGCTTTGGGTGTGAGACCTTCTATTCCCTCTGGGTGCACGCTCACCTTGACCCTCAAGAAGGTTATTAAGAAATGATATGTGCGACTCAGTGAAGGTGGTTACTGTCACTGCTGCCACCAACACCGCAGAGACAGGAACCCTGCCTCTGCCCTGGAACTGCTGTCTCCAGCTGTTCTCTGCCTGGCATTGGAGGTCCATTCATTCTCTGGACCTTATTCCCCCCTCGTTTCCTCCATCAGACCAGCCTCCTTCCTACCTCTGCTACTGCTTTTGGCATGCCCTTCATGCCCATTGCTTACAGGGTCTCTTGTCTGGGAGTGCCCTGCCTGACCTCTGACATACCTTCGACACCCATTTGAACCCCTTCTCCCTGGCCTCCCTGGACCTCGTTGTCCACGTCGCCTTTTGGTGCACAGCCCCGCATGTCCTGTTCATGCTCGGTCCTCTGGGCTGCCGGACCCTCCCCAGCTACATCTTAAGCTCTGAAGGGCGGAGGCCATGTTTGGTGTATCTCTCGTGTCCTCCTCAGCACCCAGCACAGGGCAGGGCACATTGCAGGTGCTCTTTTGCTGGTTGGGGAAAAGATGTCATGAGAGGAGGAAAAGAGGGGTTTGGCTGAACTGGAATAATCAGTCCTTCTACTCCAGAAACAGGGTGCAAGAGGGCCACCCCGATAGGACTGGGGGTCAATTTCTTTTTCTCTGCCCCTCACGGGAGATCAGCAGCAAGGTGGTTTTCTGGAGGAAAATCGCATCCAAATGTCCTTATTCAAAGGACACAATGCCTTCTCCAAAGGACAGTGTATTTCCATTGGCAGGGCTTGGGGACAGGGGCCTATTGCTCCCCCCTCCTGCTCTCTGTCTACACCAGCTAATGTGCCTACACACAGCTGCTCACGCTACTCAACACAGGACATCAGCTGAGGAGATGGAGAGACATCTCTGTAATGCAAGGAAGAATAAAACAAATGTCTGTTGCTAAATTCCAAGGAAACAACAGCTTGGATGGGAAAAAAAATAAATGGCAAAATCAGGTCTCTGCCGCTCTGGAAAGCATCAAAGCCTCGACATTGCATTCCATCCATTGACGAGTCCCAGATACGCCTGGGAGAACATGGGGATTTGGGGAAGGGCCATTTGTACACTAAAGGCCAACATGAGGCGAGGATTTACTCAGGGCCAGGAGTGTGCTATTCAGCTGGCATGTTGGGTCAGGGTGATGAGCTGAGCTTTTCAGAAAGGGAGTTGAGATCCTGGGTTAGTGAGAACTAGCCCTGGGATTTGAACTCAGGTGTTCATTATTCTGAAGTCCTTGTGCATCCCAGCCACCACCCCAGGCCTTTAGAACCAAACAATATAGCATGAATCTGAAGGAAAGCTGGATCAGAATGCAGAGAGAAGCCTGACCCCCAGCACCTGCTTCATGCAGAACCCTGATAAAATGTCCCCACCTCTAGGAAGAGCAGGGCTGAGGCGCCCCGAAGACCCAGGTGTGAGAAGGATCCCTGGGAGCCCAGAAACACCCTCCTGGGATCCCACTGGTGTCCTGCAGCCCATCTTCAGAGAAGCTGACAGAGCGGAGAGACCCTGCCTCCTCTTCTGTGGGCCACACCCCCGGGCTGGTGCAGAGTGCCCCAGGCTACCCACTCACCATGCTGTTCCAGAGATCCCAGGCGAGCATGGTAGGATCCTGGAGCAGGGACTCTTCCTGCAAGAGAATCAAATGAGAAAGGAACCTGTGTGTCCCTAAGAATGTGACAGACCTACTACGTGTTGGGCTCTCCCTGATGTAGAACTGGGTTGGCCCTGCTCTGCCCATCGGTAATGGGCGTTTATGAGACTGCTGTCTGGGGTCAAGGCTTGGAGGTCAGGGCCTGCAGAAGCAGGTCAAATGTCTGGTTGCTCTGTGGTATTGCGGAGTTCTCTGTACCTGAACTAAGTAGCAGTGGGTGGTAGGGAAGCAATTTGGGAGTGTCTGAGTAGAAGGGTGAAGAGAGGGGAAGCAGAGTTAATACTCCTATCCTCCTCCTTTTAAACCATTATTTTAAGTCCCCGAGGTAGAACAATGACCGTACCAGGCAAGAACCAAGAACCCAGGGATGTGGGGGGCTGTTTCCAGACACAGCACTGGAGCCTCAGATGCTACACCGACCTCGGTCAGCTCACTTACGGTGCTACAGAATCCAGGTGGCCTCTCATCCAGTGACCTGGAGAGGGGGAAACTCAACTCCAAACCCCTCCAGGGACGGCTGTAGGGGAGTGTGTGGAGGGAGGAGCCAGACTTGGCATCTCTGGGGATTCTATCTTGAATAATCACAGCTAAGAAGTACCAGAAACGGCTCTATGTTCGACCCATGCACACTCCCGTGTGGTCCTGACATCCTAGCAGGAAGGGATATTACCAGCAGGCCTGGTTTCGCAGATGAGGAACCAAGGCACAGGATGTTTAAACAACTTGTCTAAGGTCACACAGCCAGCCCTTCCAAAGCCAGAGTCAAAGCCAGGCCATCTGGCCCAAGTCCATACTCAGCTCTGGGCTGCCCTGCCTCTGAGAACCTGCCTCATGGGGCTATGCAACCCCACTGAGGAAAGAGGAAGCGTAAGAGAATATTGCCACATTTCTCCCTGAGCCTATGTACCCTGGGCTCAGTAAAGCCGGTTTGGGTGGGGCTTTTGCAGGGGCCAGGGGAGGGGAGGAGGGGAGCAGGGGAGCAGATGCATGGTTCCTGCCTCCTCCCTTGGTTCCCCGTGGCCTCGGGTAGCCCTCACGTACCGAGATTGGCAATAGGCTCATGTTGTAGAAGACAGGCTGGAAAACCACAGTGAACAACTCCTGCGTGTTGTACTTGCTGAGTGCCAGGATTCTTTGCCAGACTTTCTGAAGAAGGGAGCAGAGAGGAACACATTGGCGCTAAGCAAGGTGGAGCCTGCCCAGCCCCAATCGGGAGCTCGCAGCAGCCCCTGGGCAGAGTCACCGTCACAACCATGATCACAGTTGTCCTGGTGCTATCTGGAAGCTCCCTTTCTCTCACATTTCAGGGCTCTTTGATGAGCTGAGGTGGGCTTTCTTTTACCTATGAAGCACCTGCATCAGGTAACACCAGAGCTAGACCTAAAATGCAGCCTCTGGAAGCTCAGAAGTCTAGGCCAGCCCAGCCCACAGCTCTTTTCAAGGGCTCAGTTCTGCAGAGGCACGTGCCATGAACTACCCCAAAATGTCACTTCTCGAGCGAGAGAAATGCCACATAACTTCAAACACAACTTTCTTCTTGAACAACAATGACATGTTATCGTGTGTCACAGTAGGAAATGTGCTTTGAGCTGTTTGCTGAGAGAGATGGTGGCTTTTACTGAGCCCCCCCCACTCTTGCGGTGTCTCTTCGATAAACATTCTAGAATGCACATTTCCAGGAACCCTGGCTTGCCTTTGGGCCGTCTTCTGGAGTAGGTTACAAGTGTGCTGATGACCAAAGCATTTCAGGATGAATCTGTGAGGTCTTCACTGTCTTTTGCCTAAGTGTCACTGCCACTCCCCATCTCACCCTGGCCAGTATTGCCAGGGTTTACAAGCAGGAATACTGAAATGACCACCAGAAAGTAGAACAAGTAGCTCTCATCGGTTCCTGATGCTTAGTCCTGAATTGAGTGGGTAAAGCCCTATGTTAGCTAGCTTAACTAGTTTCTACTGCCCGTTCTCCCCCATGACTACCTGCTCCCATGAGCTAGTTGCCTGTAGAGAGGACTCACCTGATAAAACCACTGCATCTCCACCTTATCGAGCTCTGAGAGCTCTTCCAAGCATTGGCATGACTCCAGCGGAGGGCTGCAAGTTAGAACAAGCAGGGAATGAGAGAGCTGGAGGCTGTGAGTATGTGAGTGTATGTATGTGTGTGTGCACACGCATGTGTGCGTATGTGCGTGCATGCATGCACCCACAGATGTATATGCAGGGGAGGAATCCAGGCTGCCTCTAAGGGGAAGGAGGAAGGTAGTGGTCCTAGAAGTCCCACAGACAGGCGGAAGGAAAAGCTGAAATCTTTTTTTTTTTTCTTTGGAAGTTTTTGCTATAGGGCGTGTGCGCTTGCCAGACAGAGAGAAAGAGACAGAGAGATAGAAAGTGAGAAATCACCCCCCAGGGGGGATAGCCACGCTGCAATCCCTTCTCCTCCATTCTCCTCTCGGGATCTTGGGCACGCACGCACACGCGCCCGGCGTGAGTTTAAGCCACCGGGTCTGGGACGCGAACCGCGGTCGACTACATGGGAGTCCAGCGACATAGCCATTACGCTAACTGCTGGTCCCGAAAAGCTGAAATCTTAAAGCAGTGGTCCTCAACCCCTGGGCCATGGAACACAGGCCGGTACCAGTCTGCACAGCAGAAGTGAGTGGCAGGTGAGTGAACAAGGCATCATCTGTGTTTACAGCCACTCCCCATCACTCCCATCACCGCCTGAGCTCTACCTCCAGGCAGGTCAGGGGCGGCATTAGCTTCTCATAGGAGCGAGAGCCCTATTGTGAACTGCATGCATGAGGGATCTAGGTTGGGTACTCTCATAAATCACCCCCACCTATCCCCTGGGAAAATTTTCTTCCATGAAACAAGTACCAACAAGGTTGGGGACCTCTGTCTTAGAGGGTGCAGAAGAAGGAAGAAAGGGAAGGATTGAAAGGTTTGTGGTGGATCTCTTCTTCCTTCCCTTCCTGGAGTGAGGATGGAATACAGAGATGTCTTCTCCTTCCTCTCCCTCCAGATATGTCCCCCATCCTTATTTGTTCCTCAAACTAGAAACCCCACTCCCTGCCTCTTTCCC